GAAAATTATGTTTTATGCTTGTGGAAGAAGTTCGCTCAACATAAGCTCCATCAGCCTTAAGTATTTTGATGTTCATACTTTAATAGCAATATCAATGTATCAGATGATGGGGACAATGTTTATGGTACAGGTGTTTCTAAAAGAATAAAGAATAAAAATTGCTAATTGAGTCCAACAGGTGATTTGTTATACATTCTAACTCTAGGTTAGATAAATGCATAGTTGAAATGTACTGCCTTCCTAAAGTGTTTGGATTGTGAGAGCTGAAGTTAAGTTGCATATTCATTTTGCATATATAACCTACTAACATTCAGAATAGCTAAAGTTCATGAAGAAAAGGTATATTAAGAAATCTTCCGGGCATCCTAGTAAGTTTTAATTTATTAATTCTATGGGCTTTCAAGGAAAGGATGGGTGATCTAGTGTGAGGGTTGCCCAACACAATAGGGAGTGTAACAGTCAATATTCAAATGCAGCTCATAACTTTTTAAATTCTGATTAGAGATATCTATTTTTTTTTTCTGAAAGGAAATGTACAACTTACTACTCACTCAAGGTACTCCTATTTGTTCCAAAAATGCAAGCTRAGCAGAGAATGCAATTACAAAATTCCATAGTACAGCACATCTTGAAAGCTCTATCTTGGTAGGTTTCAGGAACATCATGAATGAAAGTTAGTGTAATGCTATCATCTAAATCACGAATCCAATCCTTTCTGTAGCTCCTTGTTTCTGAAACATATCTTATTTTTCTTATTTTCTCACCAAATAGCTGTGTTCTTTGTATTTTTTTCCTCAATTTTTTGTTAAGAGAATTGCAGATAGACACTGTTCTAAAAATGTGGTACAAACTAGTTTTTCTTGCTAAATTCAAGACTAGTACAATGAAGTATAATAAAGTATTCCAGTACTTTATGAACAACAACAATGACAGAATAAATTATGGTATTATTTCTGTATCTGTGACAATGTAACTCAATTGGGAGAAGCAGTCTGTGTTGCAAGGTGAATAATCGAGTAATCTGTAGATGATGATGACTTTAATTTCTTTCTGGCTTTACTCTGAGGGACCCATTTATATGGATCATTTATATCAGTGAACAAAATGTTGCCTCTAACAAATGAGGTTACAAAAACAATGAACCACATGCAGCAGATTGAGGAAGGCTCMCAGGTTTGTCTGCTTTAGCTGACGGTGTTGTAAGAGGTGTCATGTGGCTGGCCTGATGTAAATGAGTCATTAGACTCATTCTGTCAGCATGCTCCAAGGCAGCACTGTGTTTCAGCTAGGAATCYACAACAGGCATCCTGTTCCCTAAAATGCTTAATTTATTTTGAATTTTTCTTCCTAAAAGCCAAAACTTCATTTTGAGTTTAAAAAAAAATGGTGGGGTTTTTTTTTGCCTTCTCCTTTTGTTTGGCCCTATGAGCCAGAACAGCTGTAGAACCCTGTATCATTCTTGTTTTAAAACTGGTTTCAATGTGGCTTCTTCTGTACTCCGCTCCCGACCCCAACCCTGAGACCTACAAGACTGGATCATCTCATCGACAAAAACATGCATTATCATCATTCTGTATATTTGATGGCTTTTTCTTTCTGATGTAGATGGGTATTAACTAGTGGCTGCTGAGTGATCTYTTAAGTAATTCTGTGACAAAATTTATTTATTTATTTAAAAAGCTGCTTTTTTGCTTGTTCAAAAGAACAATGAATAATTCTATGCCTAAAATCACAAAATTCTGCAATTAAGTACAACAGCTTTTTAGGGTTGTACAGTCAGCATATGGTTACTCTCTGGATAGCAAAGGAAAAAGTGATCCTCTAAACTATACTTGCTTTCTGAGGAAGCATTATGTCTGTATAGGCAATTTTGGATTTTATGGGAATTATCATTAGAAACTACTAAGTAAAAGACTTCCTGAAGGTGAAAATGAAGCTTCATGTCTCATTGCTTTTGTTCTTTTATGTATTTTAAGGTGGTTACTGATGTTTCTATAAATCAAGATATGCTTAATGGCTCTTACCCCACATTTTCTTTGAATAAGCGTAAAACAGAAAAGGATTTAGTTTTTTTCATCAACGAGGAGAAATACTGACCCGCAATACTAGTATTGATTAAAAAAATGTAATTAACATGGAAAAACTCAACTAAAACTAACAAACTGAAACCCTTTTCTTTTAAAAATAAAAGCATACTTAAATATCTCTAGGCTATAATTTTCAATTTACAGTTGATCAAATGTTATACAGAATATTCTTTATTGTTATATATATTGGCTACAATTCTTGCGGCAAACTATCATTATTTTGTAGTTAGTGTAAGTCCAGATTACATTCTCATTCATTATGTTCTCATTCTTTCTGCAAGGGAGATGATCAGAAACAGTTCATAGATAGAATTTTTGTTGATTATTAATAATGGTATTTCCCTTTCCAATTAGTAATTACAGACAAATGAGCACAGTTTTCCTTTTTTTATTGAGACACTTAGCAAAAATGCTGAAATATCAAACATTTCCTCAGTAGCTACAATATTGCCACTATGTACAAAATATTTGATAAATGTACTACACATATAAAAATACAGTATGCATTACATATATACAGTACAATGTGCAAAACATATGGCATTCAAACATATGGAATTGAKTTTAGGGGTGCAAACAACAAATACAAAGGCATCATGGTTTCTTATAGAAAGGCAATACATAACGCCCTGATTGCCATAATTTGTATTTAAGTAAACTAGTGCTTAAATGAAGAGGGCCCTAGAGGCATATCTCTCTTCTTCTTTTCATCAAATGAGATGCTAAGACATAATTATGACTATGAAAAGAAGAGGAGAAACACCTGCTAGGGTTAGCGTTATTTCTACTGCAAGCAGTATAGTGAAGAAAAGTCCAATCTGGAATAAAGCCTGTGCTATTATTTAATACAAATTTCTCAAACAACAAAAACAACTTGTACTGTTTAACATCAAAAACAGCTTTGGAAATATCTACATCCTTTAAACCTTAAAAAACTATGGATAATATTTTGGGGGATTCACTTTCCTATGCTTCAAAATACAAAGTGCCTCCTTTGGCAATATAAATGGCAATGCTTTGGTTCCTGTTTTTATATTACTATACTTTCGGCTGTCATTCTGAATATATGAGCTMTATTCTTTATAAAAATAGTGTAATGATATAGCACATAACTATTCCCTGCTTTTTAGTGAAGTTTTGCTCTCATAGCTATAATGACTTTTTTGGCTCGATTTCTACAAATGCATTTATGTGCTTTTAAAAAAGTATGTTCAATAGAAGACACTACAGAAGGATGTAGGTGTCTTTTTCTTTTTTCTTTTTGCACTTTTTACTCCTTTAGCAAAATGGTATAAAAATATTTGAGATTATTTCAGGTCCAGGTTTTAATCAGTATTTTTATTGGCTGTCTATATATTATATGCAACTCCATTCCACATATCTCATACTTAAAAAAAAAAAAGTAGTACTGTCTAAAAGTCATTAAAGAAAATTTAATAGACCATTATGTAAAATGTTCCAACACAAAGTTTATCTGAGATAAGCGGAAGATTTTTTTTCCAGTTTTTAATAGAATTTAAATTTAAAATACGCTGAAGATGCCACTCTACTAATAACTGTATACATCAACGAGTCTTACTTATGTGTGTTTATTACATAATGCCCTTCCAGTTAAACATGTTTTACGACTGCATTTCTGCCTYGAAAGCAGTTCGACAGCTTGTGCTTGGTTTTCAGTTATGGTGACTACACTTTCCAGGCATCTGAATGTTTGAGGCTATGTAGCATAAGGAAGTTTRATATCAAAACTTCTTGTGGGATAACCTCTTTCCTTGAGGAATGACTCCTGCTGATGAATTTAGAAATACCTTGGAAAAAAATCAGTATTGACTAATGATTATTTTTAAAAGCTGTAGCCTCAGCTTTTGAAAGGCCTAATTCTAAAATTCCACATAGTTGGATTAGACCTTAAATTTATGTAGAGAATAACCACCATAAATCAATTTTGTTTTCTGAGAAAATTGCTAAATTTATTACAACGATTAATTAACTACTTATAATGTTAAATACAGATTTTGCCTGTAAACTTAACTAATGTTGAATGGCACTAAAAGTGCATAATAAATACTGTTTTTGTATTAAATGTAGGGTGTAACTCTTCTTCATTAATATTAACTCTAAAATTTCATGTCTGAGCTTTCTCYGTTTGCTGAGGTGTAAACATCAACTTTTGAATCTCATTCTGATAAAAATGGTATTTTTAATTACTTTATAGCATTTACTAACAGCACTATTATGATATGTGTTCTGTTAGTATACTGCAGCCATTACACGGAAAATATTGTGCCAGTGCATTCTTTTGCGACTGCTCTCGCTATGAGAAATATTCAATTATGCACAGTTAAACTGTACAGTCATTGTTAAATTTCAACGATGTGTTGGATTTGTTACAAAAATTCTCATGTAAAACATGCACACACAAAAGCAAAATCTATTTCTGTCATAACAGGCATATATAACTATGGCAAATATATTGCATTTCAGAACAAAGTTTAAAGCAAACCATTATATATAAGGTTTTAATACACATAATTCTGAAATGTACAAAAAATGATCATACATCTCCTAAACTAGAATAGTTGTACTTTAAAAACTAAAATGATCCCTTATTTTGTGTGGTTTTTTTCTTTTCTTTTTTTTTTTTTTTTGCAAATACATTTTTAGGGTAGAAAGCTATACTGTACTGGTAACAACACATTTCAACTGTTTGGATTTATTTCTGAACATAGATTCCTATGGATTAGTTACATTCTATACACTGCCAATGAGGATAGTTTTGTAGCAAGATGACTTTGCCAGTTTTAAGCTATATTTACATGCACATCAAATATGACAGCACAGTTGCTCTAGGCTCATTTGTCCTCAAGCAATTAGTTTATTTGCCTCTTTAATCAGAAGGCAGGGTCAAAAAGGGGTATTCTTGTTACTATTTTCTTCAGTGTGCTATCACATTGTATGCCACGCATCACACCTAGACATGTCTGGTTATTACATGCAATAAATTGACAGTACTGTAGAATACTATATATTTAATCCAGAGTTCTTCCTATCAAAACAAGAAATTTGTTTTTGAAAGACATTCTATTAACACTTGAGCACTTTGTACCTCAGAGTACTCCCAAGAAAATATGTTCAAAAGGAATGCTAAGTTGAATGTATTTGTTCAGCATTATTGAACAATACTATAGGATCATAATAAGAGGCAGGCAGTCCATATGCTGTATCATATTCAAGTACTGCAGGCACAGAAAGAAGGGATTAGGAAGTCTTTCAACTTCATCTACTGTTGTGCCAACCGGATAGGGGGTTTCTTGTGTCTAATTTTAGATTAAAGTGAATCCTAGCCTATCTATTGCAGATATACAATGATTTAGATTACTGAAAGCTGGTATGGTGCAAATCTATAATGCCAGTTTTAAGTCTTGAATSAGTGACGTAATCTGTTATTTTACCTGAAGTCAATGGAATTGTGTGTGTGATATTACTAAATAGACTGCACTGGTCCAGAGACACTAAATTTTCAGATAATTCCACAGCTTTTTTTCTCTGGCAGAAGTATTTAAAATATAGTTTGTTACCACATTTGTTTAAAGTGAAATTGGTTGCTAACAGCTGTTTTGTTTTCATTATATCTTTGCTGCAGATCGTTACTCCAAAAACTAGGCAACAGCTTCATAACATGRTTCCAGTGTTTCCTACAACACTATTCTTGAAGGCTGGTGGTAGGAAAGGAGCTCTGAAAGGAGATCAGTTTTCAGACCAGAAAAAAATATCATATTTGTGTTGTGAAAGAAATAGGAAATTATTTCCTTTTATCTTTATTTAGAAATTCCCAAATGGGACTAATGCCTATTTTATGTCTGATCATCAATATACATTATTTATGGCATTATCTAACCACTGTCATCATCTGATAGGCAACTATAAAATTTCCACGTTTTATTGTTTTAATTTTTTGTTCATTTTTCTGATTACTATCATAATAGCCACTGAAAAGAACATTAACTATTACTTTTAAATGATGTGCTGAGAGGTAAAAATTTGATTGTTGCTGTTATCTATTACAGATGTTAATAGGCTGCCTTAACACTGAACGGTACACACTAATTTTGATAATTTACCTTTTATTGTTTTCAGTAAGAGCTATTTAGGGTTCTTATTGAGCAACTTCTGTTTAGCTTCCTTTGTACTGAGTAGTGGTAGACAAAGCTGTTCAACAGATACAGTATTCATTAAAAATGAGGCTTGCACTGTCARTACTGTCCCTTGCAACTCTGGGTCTGATCCTAAAACCATCTTTAATGGAGATCTGTGGGACTATTCTTGCATAGATGTTTGCAAGATCTGAATGTGCAGCAGGATTGATAGTATTTGTCTGCTTTCTCAAAATATTTTGATATGCTAAGATACTGGATTCAATAGTCTAACAAATATCCTCAAGTACAAATTAAAATAGGTATTTATTATTTCCAATATTGTAACTTCTCGATTTTTTGAAGACCTCTGTTCCCCTCTGTTCACAAAAATAAGCTATACAAAGTTAAAAGAGTATTCAAATAACTATCTGATATACACATTAAACCCCAGCTATTAAATCCAGAGCATTGCTATAGAAAATTCAGTGTTCTTGATATTACCTGGCCTAGCTACAGTGGATTTCCTGCAGTTACACTTAATATCCCTTCAGATGCAGTTAAATTCTTCCCTCAGAATTAAAGAATGGGAGAAAAGTTTTAAAAACAACAAAACCAAAATATAAAACAACTTGAACTAATTAAGAGACTAGTTACACGAAATATCACTGAACCAGCCAGTGCTTCTACTTGCCTTTGCCCTCACAATTTCTTTTGAACCTGGCTCAGGCTATCCACAGGAACAAGAAGTGCAGTGATATCTCACCTTCCCCCAGTGACAGCTGCTCATTGTGCCAATACAGAGAGTTGAAGTCTCACTTATTTTTCTTATCTAAGATCAGCCACGTTGTGTCATCTGTTTAAACATTGCAAAGTCAGTAATACTATCTTCTTATACATTTGCGATGCATTTTCTTTGGGGTACCTCTAATCACCAAGTACAATCATCCTTTGACTCGTGAAATACAGTTTTCAGAGGGCCCTGATCTGCATTAATAACAGGAGCGTAAAGTAATTAATTGTAAACTTGAAAATGATAAGAATTAGCTTCAAGCATTTGTTCTTCCAAACATTCCTGTTAATTTTTCTCAATTGCAACCAAAATCATTTAAGAATGGACCTATGCTGTAAACAGATTGGGACGTTGTGTTTTCATTGGCTATAGCTTAATCCCAGTGCAACTGCAAATCTTGTGGATCTAGAAAGTCAGTGGAGAACACACTGGGGGCAGTAGAACTGAGAGGAGTGAGTCCAGATGAAGAGCTGGGCATTGTAATGTCTAACCATTCCATGTTGTCTAGATTTGTGTCAGGAAGGTCAAGAGACAGACAAGAATTATTAGCGGTAAACTGTGGGTCAGAGGTTTCCATGGGTGAATGAGAGTGATCTAAAATGCTGGAGTGATTAAGCAGATCATTCTGAAGGTCCTCAATTAAAGAAAATGACTCTCTGTCCTCATTACTGCTTGTCAGTTGAGGGATTTCATTACCTGAAGGTAAAGTTCCATCCAAGAGAGCTTCAAGTTGGTTTTCCAAACTTACTAACAAGTTGGTTGTTGGTTCTAAAGACACAGGAGGCGCCATTTGGATCTGTGGTGGTGGGCGGGATATCACTGTATTCACTGGCATTGTAGTGATGTTGGCTGTTACTGGTCTCATTTTAGCAATGGGAGATGGTTCCTCCTTTATTGGAAGGGAAATCTCTGTATTAAAAAAAAATAAATAAAATATATGACATATGCTCTCAGGTTTAAGTCCCCTAACTCTTTCTCATGTGCCATAAGATACATCCACAGTAAACTCAATGGAATAGGGCTCATTTTGCTGATCTGACAGTACAGACAGTAAATACATCAGATCAACTAACGTCATCAACAGTGCTGCCAACTAAATTCCCTCTTTTTTTTTTTCAGTAATAYTCTATCTAATTAGAGTATTTACGTCCATGAAAAAGGGGTTCTTTTCCTAAATGTTAGCATTAGTAGCAGTTTGTGACTTCCTATAAAACCAGTACCCTATGCCATTTGAAGAAAGAGTACCTGAACCAATTTTCAATTCCATTCTGCATTTGGTACTATACCTGACTTCGCAAATTAAAGTCTAAGAGATAAAACCATACTAATTAAATAAATTATTACTGACTCATGTGTCTAAAACTACTCTTTAGTCAAGAAGGTTCATGTAAGCTGCTGGAAGTAACAGTAAAAGAAAATAAGATCCAGTTAATTCTTATATGTAAACAGGGTTCAAAAATTAGATTAGATCGACAACATTTTGACAGACAATAAGATGCATGTAARTCCTCCTCCACAGATGATGTTTCTGCTGGCAGAAATATACTTCTACATCACTTTGCCCAGCAAAATAATACATTTTGAAAACCTCTAAAACAACATCTATTTGAAATGTTGCCTAATAAAAACAAAGCATTTGAACAAGAAATGACGTACATTAATAACTTTTTTTAGGTGTAGAATTTGCTTGAAGTATTCAGAGCCTTCGCATGTATTTATTTCCATTTTTAAAAAAGATGATGGAAAAAAGTTTACCTTTCAGGCCAACAAGGTGTGATAATGAAAGGCTTGAAGAAGATAATTTTTAAATAAACACACTAATATTTTGTACATCCTTGTTTTCAAAACCTTTAGTTATGCCTGAACACCTTCTGCTTTTACTGCACAGCTAGTTTTCCAATTACTTTATGTACTCAGGTTCCTTTCTCACTGCCTTGTTTTAACTGACATAAACCTTTTGAAAGTCATTAGTTCATAGCACCTTTTTACAGTAATTGATAGTTACAGCTGATACTATATTCTTACATTTATATGTTGAAAAAAAAGCCTGTGCTAAATTAAAGTTCCGTTTTAATCATGTGCCGTTTGAATTCCCACAGATATCTGCCCAGGCTAGTTTACAAGCTGAGGACTTCCAAAGCAGGAGTACTGTATTTCTTTTGGAATATATGTTGGTCTGTGTTCTTTCTTTCAGGCAAGCTTTCAATACTGTTGTCATTCAAACTGGACAGCTTCCACATCCTCTTCTTTCCTTTCATTTCTTTGATTACCATATGAAGTTTTCCTTAAAAAGTTTAAGATATCTATGTCGCATAGATTTCAAGGGGCTTACCTCCACTTTTGATGAGGATATCAAAAAGATCGTCCATTTGCTGACTGTGCGCGCTGGAAATCTGGTATATGGGAAAAGTTTAGGGCAGCTGGTTATTCTTTTTCATGTAATATTTTTTCTAAGCTTTTTAATCCTAACTTCTGCAATACTAACTGTACATGAATATTAACTTATAATCAAAAGTATTTTTTATGTGAATTTGTCAATCGAGAAAACAAAGGAAGAGTCTGCAGAGGCACYTGTAATACTTGAGGTTGCATTCGGTACAAAGGGACAGGAAGAAGTGCCAAAAGCAAGACAAAGACTTCATGAAGGAAACCTGACAGAGATGCAGAAAACCATGTCTAAGAGGAAAACTGCTAACCTGGTTGCCTGGTTGTTGCTGTTGTTATGATTATTATATATTTTTTTAAAGCAGGTAAATCTGGGGAATAACATCAAACTACTGAGTTAACCCTGAACTGCCTTCTCTCAGAGACAGGCTCTAAGTATCCATTTAGGTAAAATAAATTTTTAAGTTGTTTCTTTACAGTGTGTGGATTCATACTCACTCAGAAGTGTTTGTTTAACTCTTTATCTGTATAGTTCAGACATTACGACTTGAGCCTAAGCAAAACCCATTCTTTCAAAAATAGTCTGGGAAAGTTATAGAGAGCTTTTCTGCAGTCTTGTGCTAAAACACATACAATCTGAACAACTTCAACAATTTTTTTCTCTGCAACTSTGAAATTTAAGTATCATAAAGCCTTAAAGATAAGGCTTGGTAATGTTAAAGTAGCAATATCATGGTTTTCCCAATATTATGTACTACCAACTGGATAAGGAAAGATAAATTTCCCAGTATTTGAGTATATTTTAAATCAATAGATGAGGAGGCTTYAAGTTAAATGCAGTAATAAAATATTAGCAGAATAAGTTAGAAAATCTTGACACAAACAAGAAGGTACATTAAGACATAACTATGGTAATTCTGAAGAAAAAAATAAAGTTGTTCTTAACAGGCTAAATAAGAGAAAGTAACTACCTCACGGTGAGATGTTTGAATATTGCGGGTTTGTTTTATGGCCTCTTCATACCGGGGAGGATCCTTTGTCTTGGAAGCTGCGTTGTTGAAGAGAGGCTGTTGAACGACATAAGGCTGGGCTTGAGATGGAGAGCCAGGCTGTGCGCAGTAACAAAAGAATAACCAAACAAAAAGTGAAGCTCACATCTGAGTTCTACAGGTTATCCTGTTTTGTCATACTAGTCTACCTCGCACAAAGATTATTTTCTGATTATTTATACTATTATTAGTTTCTTCTTGCTCATACATGCATTACTAAAATGTACAAAGCATTCCTCTCTGAGTGAAGTACAGTACACATGCAGCAACTATTTAARAAAAGCAATAAAAAACTGAATTTTATGGAGCTAATCCTACCTTGCTAGGAGCAGGTCCATTCTGCACAGGTGGAGCCTGGTTACTACCAGTGCAAACATTAGAGTTTGGTGCTTTATTAATAAAAGATTGAGCAGGTGTCGTAACTGGTGTAGCCTGATAGGGAAATACAGTATTTGATGTYGTAGGTGGAAAAACCTGTAATGGATTAATATTAATACTAGTCAGTATTTTTATCTAGTCTTAATAATTTTAATTAATTCATGAGCAAATAACATTAATAATATCTAAGACTTTTTTTTTCCTAAAATGCAATACAAACCACGCTTGTTACCTTAAATCCCTTTAAGGAAATATTAGGTCCTCTTTTTTTTCATACCTGTAGATAAATCTGAATTCTAGAACTATGACTCTTTGAAAGAATCTTTGTGCTGTGACATACTTTCCCCTGTCAGTGCTATGTTAAAATGTTTTTCAGGAATCATAAGAGAATGTAATCCAATGAAACTCTAATACAATGTGCCTCATTTGCCCACCTAGCGGGCAGTGACTGCAATAGACTYGTTTCTGGGCCAATACAATAGGATTGCAATAGACTCTGCACACAGTCATACTTGTCCTATGTTGTCTAATCCTAGTTTCTTTTAACTCTGGAGAGTCGTGAGCTCAAYGTGAGTTGAGACTACTGTGAGAGGGTTTAGTACAGTTTGTTAGCTACCTGGATCACCCATGCAACTACTGTAAAATGCAACAGCTGCAAGATGTTGTAATTTGTAGCTCTCAACTGCTGAGCTGAATGGCCTGGAGAGGCCTTAGTTAAGACATTAGAGGATTTCAGCACTGTTTGAAACTGGAGGGCCATGAACACTGCTGCTTTCAAGTGCATCATTACTGAGCCATTTAACTATGCAGTGTCCTTAAGGCAGAAGTAAGAGGTTCTCTAGGGTCAAGGGCTACAATAGAAACAATAAGTCTGAGACAAGTTCCCCCCACACTCCCCCCAAAAAAGAATCCACTAAATAAAAAGGTCAGTCTGCTTACCCTCCTGCCATGAATGAAGGCATTTTTTACTGCTACGAACAGGTTTGTTTAAGTATCTAAGGTCTCATGTGGAGCAGATATTTGGCCTCCTCTCTGACAAAGGAGCCTAGGTACTGGGGCTGCTTTGGCCTGGGTATCTTGTAGTTTTGAAAGTGGAATCGTGCAAAGAGGATAGCAATTTTCCTAACAAGAGTTAGGAATATGTAACATATTGCTCACATTCTGTTAGCTCAACCTACCTCCTGAACCATCTAAAGGCTTATGAAAACAAACTGTAGGCAGGTGAATGCAGAATGCATTATGACTGTACATTACAACAGTATTTTACATTCTAATGTAACAACTATACAGTCACACTGTCTGGTTTCATATGTAAAAGATGGCACTAGGTGTGTGGCATCTTCTCCGGGCTGTGTGTGTAGCCTGGAAAGGCAGGCTACTGGGCTCCAAATTCCAGGAGATGCGAACTGAAGACTGCAGGGAGCCACCTGGCATGGTCTCCATAACAACTGGTCCAAATAAGAGGGAAGACTAGAGATCACTGTCCTTGATTAACTTTTGCAGTCATTTCAAAGTTCTTGACAGCGAAGAAAGCAAACTCTATGTTTCTATTAGGGGTCATCCTCAGGATGACTGCAAAATTTCTAAATGGGATTTGTCAAGTTAACAAGGTAAGATTAGCTCTCATCAAATTCAAGAYCCTCTGAGTGAACTCTGCTTTTGGATACATGCCAGTTAGATTTTTGTAGGATGACCTAAATGCCCAAGAAATTAAAAACAGAGAGGATGCTTAGTTTTGCTCCCCTTTACTGGCAACTATCTGGAGAATGATGGGGCATACAGATTTTGTTACTGACCTTTATGTTACTAATCATAGTAGTCAGCCTAGATAAGGCTCAAAAAAAGGAAAGCCCCTTCCTCTGACCACTGGTGCTGATATGTTGATATCGGTCACCACATGAACACAACTGGGTCAGCACTTCTAGCTATCTGTTTTGGGCTAGGAATTTTCAGAGCTGAACATTTATGGTAGAAAGGAAAAGGAAGATTTATCTCTGAATCAATCCCCGCATGCCTCAGAAAGAGGAGCATCCCAGGTATGGTTGGATTTTTACTCACTGGGTACTGCTGTCCTCAGCATCTGAATTCAAGATTGAATGCTTGGCTTTCTTCATAAGCAAGGATCAGATCAACACGGATAGTAGGAAAACTAAAATAAACTTTTACAAAAGAGAAGGAAAAAGCCTTCTGTGAAGAACTACATATAAGGATCTTCCATTTCATGCTGGCAACAGATACGAGCAATTGGCTGGAACATCTGGAGTACCACTTGTGCCAAGCTTGAGAAAGACTGTATTGTGTGAGCTATAAGAGTACTATTAAGATTAGAAAGAAAGGCCTTTAGCAATCTGTACTTACAGCTTAAAAGGTAAGTTCTTGTATGGGCTACAATTCTGAAAAGAGAAGGTTTTACCAGTTTGCTTTATCACACAGAAAAMCATGGTGCAGAGTGACTTGCTAAGTGACTTGGTCATTTGTATTTAACACAAACCAGAAAAGATTCTAAAAGCACTAACTAGAATTAGACTATAAAGCAGTATTAACCTTATTGCTATTCACAAACCTTCCTGATTTGTTGAGTCTGACCAAGTGCATGCTGCGTGGTGGAATTTGGTTTTGATTGCGGAGTATGGATCTGAGGTGCTGTCTGGACCAAGCCAGAGGAGGGAACAGAAGCAGGCATTTGTGATGGGGTCTGTACTCCAGCTTGTGACTGAGCCTGAAGGATGAAGATAAAATACTTGTTATTTGTATCTCGCAGCAAAATAAATAGTATAAAAATCTGTTGTATAAATTAAGCAGAATATCAATAGCATGTATTCTGGGAGGTGTTAGGATGAACTGTGTGCCTGAAACAAAGATATTTTAACTCCACTTGGTACTGAGAGTTCCCAGCTGAAAGGTGGCAGCAGAGCTTAAGAGGAAGACAAACTGGAGAGTCTAGGCAACAACACTAAAAAGATACAGAGCATAGTCTCTGGTTAGTAAGAAAGGGCTAAAGAACTGGGTYTGATTAAACTGAGAAAACTAATGATGCAATAGGATAGGCTTTCCAGAATGTTCTAAAAACTTAATAGTCCACATAGTTTTTAATGCCTGCTGGTAGGAAAGAAGTATGTCTAACCTCAGGAAAGATGTCTTGAGGTAAAAGATCTTTCTGCAATAGCAGCAAACTAAAAGAGCAGAGTAGGATGTTTCTAGTTTCCTGCCAGAATTCAAGCAGTTTCAGAACAGGTGAGCCAAGCACTTGCCTACCTGGTCGTTATTATGGTGGTTCTCACGCTGGAGCCCTCAAGGCCACCCCCATCAGAACTGTACAACCTTCATGAACCGCCCAAGCTGTGACAGTGCACACACTAGCTCCAAGCCTGTACCCACAACATGCAGAGAAAGCAAGCAGCAGAAGAGATAATAAAGCAGCTGGCTTTTAAGTATTTCTTTCTTTTTGCCTAAAGCAGAAACAAGCATGATTTTTAGCGGTTATCTTCCTATCTTAAAAGTTAAACAAATATTGTCTCATTGTTACATGTTGGCAAATAAATAAACATACCTGCAACTTTATATTTCCAACTGGTAGCTGCACTGAAGTGGTCGAATTCGGTCCCTGGATAGACAGTGGGAGGAGCAGCTGTGTTGCTCCCTGCGTGGTTAGCAAAGCTTGAGGCTGGGCAACAACGGCAGTTTGTGGCTGCCTCTGTGGATTAACATAAAACTGAGAAATAGCRTTCTGCATTTCGGCTTTGGCCATGGGTATCTCCTGCTTGATAACAACTGCCTTTTTGGCAACTGGATTCTGGCCACTAGTATGTATTGATTGTCCTAAAGATTGACTAGCTACAGAAACAGATTGACTTGTACTAGAGCAGTCAGCATGAGCTTTTTCATCCTTGATAGCAGCACTAAATTGTTTCTGATCCAAAGCAGCTGGGTTACTAGAACTCTGAGACAGTTGCTGTTGTCCCCGTTTTTCAACCTCAAGTTGCATTTTCAATACTTCCACCAGTTTTTGCTCTTGTTCCAGTTTTCTTTTGAGCTCTTCAATCTGTTTCTCTTTCTCTTGAAGCTTGCGGTCCTTTTCTGCTACATCAAGCTCCATACTTGAGATGCTTCCACTGCTACGGTTCTGAGTGTCTTCATTCACATTCACCCTTAGTGGTGAAGTACTCAAGAACTGGGACGGTGACATCATGGTCATCATTTCTGTGAAAGTATCTGCCATGGTAGTGTCATCTGTGCTTAGGTTAGATTGTTCTGAAGGAGCAGGAGATATAGGCAAAGGGGAACTAATGTTTTCAGTATTAATTACTTTGTTGCTAGGACCAGTAGATGATTTTTCTGGAGGAAAGCTGGGCATAGTATTAACTACTGTTTTAGTTAGTGTTGTGACAGGAAATGCCACAGTCACTTCCGCAGTGTTAGATGTGGCCCCAGTAGAAGTGGTTACTGGAACAGAGCTACTAGTAGTGACTCCGTTGTTATTAAGATCTTGGTAGGGTTTCAGACGCTCAATAAGATCGGTTTTTGTTCCAGACACCGGTAATCCCCTTAATTTCAACTCCATTTTAAGCTCCGCTACCTGAGATAAAAAATAAAGTTAGTAAACATATTCACACCCAAATACCTTTTTTTTTTCATTAACATATGCTATTAAGTGTACATTTGAACAAGAAAAAATATTTATCATCATATTCATAAACATAACACCTCTGGCTTCTGAGTACAAGCAACATTCATGTGCACATTTTCATGACCTGCTGTTTATTTTCACTTGGTGAACAGCCAGAAACTTAGCAAAGGTGGTTTTATGCTGACTGTTCATATAGGTAAGGTGTATTTCCAGTTCTGGACTGAAAACTTTAAAGTGACTGTAGAAGATGGCAGCAGTGAGATTAAAAAATACTGAATAGATGCAAGTTAGAATGAAGAACCATTTTGTMAGGCTACCATAGCTCCTACATACATAGGTCTCTCATCATAAAGATTTTTTTTTTAATCAGAAATTGCTGCTTTGAAACAGGCTGCCCAGGGAGGTTGTGGAGTCTCCTTCTCTGGAGGTCTTCAAAACCCACCTGGATGGCACCCTGTGCCACATGCTCTGGGTGTCCTTGCTGGAGCAGGAAGGATGAACTGGATGATCTCTAGAGGTCCCTTCCAACCTTAACCATTCTGTGATTCTGTGACCTATAGATTCTACAATCTAATGATTATCTACAAATAGTGACTTCCAAGCAATTAGCTTCCTGAKTGCTGGGTGTGCTGCTCATTTGATCCTGTAGTTCAGCCAGAATATGCATCTAATTTGGAACTAATTCCCTTGTTCCTCATTAGATTGTTGTTGGCCCATTTTCCCGAGGGCCATCTGATTAGCAACCCTGCTGACCAGCATATTGACTGCTCTCTCCAAGCCTGAGGTCCTCCGGAGCACTGCACAGACTGCSATGCTCAGCTTGTCCATTTTTCAATAATCCATTCCTAAATTCTTATCTGAACTTACTTGGCTGAGTTGGTATTAAAAACACCACAAACTCGTCTTCAAGTACTGCTGATGTTACTCTTACCACATCAATGAGAATACTAGTCAATTATGCAGAAATAGATAAGCAAATATCTTTCATCGTTGGTAAATTCAGATATTTAAGTTTTTAAACACTAAACACATAAAATCGCATCTTATGTACTTGTTTTATATGAAAAAATCAACGTTCAGCTTTAACTGCATTGCTGTCTTGAGAATCTGATCTTTAGAAAACTCTTATTCCTAMCGTTTCACTAAAAAAAGAAAAAAAAAGGGCAAACAGAAAACAACAACAAAAGAACAACGAACCAACCAACCAAAAATCCCAAACACAACCACCCTTGATAAAGGCAGGGAGGAATGAGTTAGCTGGTCACTAGATGTCTCTACTCCTCCGCTCTAGTTTAGCGCATGGCTGCAGCTGCTGGGGAAATATCTGAATCTAAACCCCAGAAGTTGCATCAGTTTCATTTCTAGGAGACTTCTTACTSTATTTACTCCTGATAACTTCTTTCAAAAGAAAGAAAGGATCATATGTAATACTCTTATTTTAAAACTTAAACAGAGTTTACATGGTTATTGATATTTTAAGAAATTTCAATAAAAGTCAGTGTTGATTTTCAAATAAGGTGTGGATCCGATAAATATGATGTCTCAATCTGTTTTCTCTTCAGGTGATTAATTCTGTCATCTTTAAATAAAGTAATACCATGCAATTTACTTATTGGTTATATATCTTAAAAACAGTATCACAACAGCAAAACAAAATAACCCATCACTAACAAGACAATATATCCTAAATAATCCTAAAGATCCTAAATAAATRTATCTTAAGTTATTAATAAAACCAATATGTAAATATCTCAGCTAACAGTTCACCTAGGGTGTCAAACTGTAGACTGTGTTACTGTCTACAATCTACACAAAATTCTTTTTCGTCTTCTAATTCTCTGGAGAAAAAAAGTGATTCTTAGAAAATGTGGATTACAGGTGGCTAAAGCAAACCAAATATATAGGTCCAGAAAGGTTGTGTATGAAAACTTAAGCTTATCCTAAACTGCCAAGAGAGTAAGTACAGCTTTAACTGAAAAAAAAAAAAAAAAAAAAAAAAAAAAAAAAAAAAAAAAAAAAAAAAAAAAAAAAAAAAAAAAAAAAAAATCCAAGCTTATTATTGACAGTAATGGCTTGGAAGTTAAAACCCATCCTAAACTGATGTTTAGGAATGCACAAAGTCTTTTGATTTTTACCTTCAAATCATCCAAGCTGGAAGGCAGCGGTCCTGGTTTCCTGCTGGGAGTGTTACTGTTCTGTCGGGGTGAGCTGGCGACTGGTGCTGGCGTGCTGCTGTTCAGTGCAGTCAGTGGTGTGTTCCCATTGCTACTCTGCTTATCGTTCAGTGTCCTTTGAGCGATTACACAAGAAAGATAAAAATGTCAGTGCTAAATATATTATATGTTCATTCAAGTAGCTGTAATTCCAATTTTAGTGTCTATGGCAAATTAATACTTAACATAAAACAGCATTAAGTATTTTCAGTTCAACAGAAAAGGGGAAAAAATAAGTGGAGAATGCTATGTTGGTATTTTATTTGCTCTTCTGTTATACCTTTCTGTTTTACTTTGGTAAAAAAAACAATCTAACAATCTGCATCTACCCTATCTATATGCCAGATGTGCTAATTAATTTACTTAATACAGAATAAGGACTAATCTGAAGACAGTTTTCTCTGAAGATACCTGTATGATGATCTGTATTCTTATAATAAGTATTTCATATAAGGATCTCAAAATAATCACAAAAGATTTAAAAAAAAAAAAAAAAGCCACCACGGACAGTAGGTACCATAAACCAGCTCTCTTCTTTGTTCACTTGATTTAGGCAGAAACATTTCTGAAATGTCAGTAAATGGAACATAAGAAGCGTGGGTTAGCAGGCAGAGGCATCTCCAGTCCAAATGTTAGCACACAGGGTAATTACCAATACAAGCACAGATGGTGTCTTTTACTTTTCTAGCATCCCTTGCTGAGGAGAAATAACTCAGTTTAGAAAACTCATTTTAAAAATCCAGTTAAAAAACAGTTGAATTTAGAACTGTGTAACTATGGCCTGCAACACTGCGAGTACTTCTAGGAAAAGATGGAGGGGTTTAGGTGGTAAGCATGAAACTGGAGACAAGAGTCTCAACTTTTCAGTCTGCTGCAGGCTGCTGTTAATTCTTCAAAGGTTTCCTTCTCTGAACCCTTGTACCTATACATCAGAAAGTACTGTTCTCATTTAAAAGCACTAAGGATCAGTACTGATAAGGTGCTCACATGTTAGAAATGTAGGACAATGTGAACAATATATGAATTTTACCTAGTTTAAAATGACAGTTTCTTTCCTTTTGAAATATTAAAAAAGTGCAGTCTGTGAAACTAATATAAAAAACAAAAAATACCCACCAAAGCAGTAAGTCTTTTTGTAAAAGCGAGTGTCTTTACATTCCTATTCTGCTCTGCTTATTTGTATCATATTTGTGTGAAAACAGTGTCAAAATCTTATAGCTTTTGCATAGATCCTTGTTTCAAATATGCATCTAGTTGAAAAAAATGCATCTGGCAGGTAGGAGGTTCAACTGTTGTGTTAAACTAAAAATAACTCAGTCCAGTTATAAGCTTATATCAGACATATATCAGGAGTCTTTCAAAAAGTGTAGAACTTCATCACTTCTGTAGTTACACAATGTAAATAATACCACAGTGATGCACATTGCCATTTAAATCTTCACAGATTCTATCTTTCATGATATGTGAGAAACACTGGTATTTCTAAAGCACGAAGCTTGCACAGCTAACATATACTTTTTTCAAAGGACACTTCCCAAGAAAACATTAGCAAAGCCTTACATACTTCAGCGGTGCAGGCAGAATTGTCTGGTAGTTGTAGTGTTGTTGCTGCTGGCTCAGGATCTGCAGCTGCAAAAACAGTTGCTGTTGCTGTAGCAAACGAGCATAGTTGGAGTCCATCTGTGGTTCATTCTTCTCACCTTTCTGATCAGGTGGAATATATTGATGATACTTCAGTTTCTTCACCCTTGGCTTGGGTTCTTTGCATTTCTTGCTTCGATGTTTATCATTTGGATTCTTTGGGTGGGTTTGCTATTTATGGATGGAAAAGGTTGGGGGAAAAAAAGGTAACAGACATCTCATTTACATGCAGCTATATAGTATACTAACATAAAATGTACAGGAATATGTTGTAAAGAAAAGCTACAATGTAATGTTGCTGAAACACTTTTCAGGAGAATGTCCTGCAAGATACTTGAATACACTCCACCTACTCTCTGCGCAAGAATGGGTGATCAGAAATCAGTTGTATTTTGTTAATAGATGGCAAAAATGAAACTAAGGGATTCTGCAGGTCCCCGCCTGTCACTGCAAAGGGACATTCTTTTTTAACAAGTAAGTTCAAAGCCACTCAGCACTTTGTACACGGAAAAGCAAAACACTTTATCTCTCTCTGTAAACATTTGCCAGTTAGAAGTACTTACTGGTCTGGATGAAGGTCATGACTTGTCCTGTAAATTACAGAAGTACTCTTATCAAACTATCAGCACCATCTTTATCAGCACATAAAATTCTCCTCCTTGAGGTGATTTTGAATAAAAATAATTGAAAGCAGCTGTGTAGACACATAGAGGCTATCAAAGGTATGTGTGTAGATAAAATATACATTTATTACACAGCCACTTTTGGTGGACACCTGAATGTGCCACTGAGGTTCTGCTTTTGTAGCCAGCTGGGGCAGTGCCAGTGATTGCAGCGGGTACAGACAAATCTGCATCAGAAATGGCGAGGGTGGGTGCTAGCTAGGTAAACACTGACGAGAGAGCTACAAGTGGTCTTCAGATACAAGGAGCCCGTATTGAACATCCCTCACACCAAGCGGGAGAGGTGTTTCTGATTACAGAATAAATGAATGAGGAAACAGCTGTGGAAGAGAAGCAATGCTGTTTAACTGCTGGCTATAGGTGGATTATGAATAGACTTATATCTATTAAGTTATTCCCTACACAGGACTAGATTAGACTGACTTTTATCTGTAGACTGACTTTTTTTAATCAGTAAACTTTTTTATCAGTAAACTGACTTTTATCAGTAGAAAGTAACACCTCAGTACTACAAATATCCTTATTTCTCTGCATTTTTTTTAACTTCAGTACTAATGTAATGCATAATTCAGTTTAAAAACATGTCAAATATACTGTATGGAGCTCTTAAAATAATGAATGGTTCTTATTACTGCTGATGCTGGAGAACATGACAGAGCTTTCAGTCACCAACCCAGCACATTTATCTGAACACTAATAAAAGCAGTTACTTGACTATAAACATTGTAATGCTGTTTGTGTATTTTTTCTTTAGCAGAGCACTGAAAAAGATTTAGAACAGTCCTGAGTTGCTGTTATTGYACCTACCTTTACTAATGTGGGCCCAGGTTTTGCTGCTGAGACTGTATTTGTAGTTAGGGTGGTTGCAGTAGTGGAACGTGTAACGTGCTGCTCGATTGCAGGTGGAGTTTTGAGGAATTCAGGAACTGGAGAGGTTAAAGGTGGGTACTAGTATAAAAAAAAAAAAAATTAAGAACATTCACACCTGAGGATTCACAAAATCATTGTGAAAGAATACAACAACTTACAGTCGTTTTACATTCACAAAAAAAATATAAAATCGTTAAAAAAAGAGCTTCAGAAAAAAACTCTATGATTATAAAATTCTTCTGGAACTGACAGCTGTCCAAGTACCTTTGCTGCTGACATAAGGAAAAGCAAACGCTTTCTCATCAAGCTAGTTAGTCGGACTTACAGGAACAGGCTCTGCCCAAATATGTTTCTTCTCTCTGCAGCGCTAACTGGAACTCTCTACTAGTCTCCACCTTCTCGTTTTTGCTAAAGTCCATGATTATTAATCCTGATTGAAGAGAATGGTTGCATTTCCACTGCTTAAGAAAGCAATTAAATTATCTAATACAACATTTGTTGTATGAAATTAATCATTCAATACCCTTTTTCTTCAGAATGTTTCAAAACCTTGGATTGTAACTGGGATAGACATTCACTTGTCCTTATGCAATGTTTTCAGGTTTTTAATTAATGAGCTCCACTTTCCTTCAGAAGATGGTAACACACAGGATCCAACTGACACTCGGAGTGCCTTCTGCTGCCTTTCTGTTCCTGGGATGGCACTTTCCAGAACCCAGCCTGCAGGCACTTGGCCCCTGCACCTCGCTTACATTTCTGTTATGGTAGTTTCCACTTCATTGTTTCTATTGACCATTTTGCTGCATTTAACGTAGTTTGTCTCTGCCTGATCTCAGCTGTGCAGTACGTTTGTTGCTTCTTTTCCTTTACAGTGTTTCTTTCCAGAGGAATCTTTTCTGCGATCTGCCTCTATCCAGCTCTGGCAATTTTCGCTTTATCCCTAAGTCACAGCTTGCTTTGCTGATCAGACTTTTCCCCCTGCATTCTTAAAGGCAGGGAGGATCTGTAATGCGTCTGGGATTTAAAAAAAAAAAAAATCCTGAAATAGAGTCAATTGCATATATGGTAAAAACAATCTATATATTAGCAAGTAATTATCTATGTAGCTCAGCTCTCYGGGGGAAAAGCAAGTGATCCTGCATTATTCAACTGCAAGATTTAGCATGCCAAGCCTAGGCAGTGCCTCAAATGCTGCACACATGCCCGTCTTGTGCCAGTTTGCGGTGGAGGTTAAAGATAAAAATGCCTCTATTTTTACACCACCTTTTGAAGTGGTCCCTCTGCAAAGCCTCAGATATCCACATACAATTGTTATTTGCACAACAACTGGCAGGGCACTTTTGAGGGATCTATCCTTTTAAAAAGGGCACTGCCTGCTGTATTCCAAGATATTCCACCCCTGTTGCTATGAAGTTATGAACGCTTATTCTAATTATATAGCAGTGACAGGGTCATTTATTGTATTACCAGTTATTTAAGAACTTACTAGTTCTTAAATATTCTTTTCATGAAGTTCCTTCAAAAAGAAATTTTTGCTACTTAAGCTTATTTATCATGGAATYTTTTGCCTTTCATCATTCTGATGCCTATACAAATAACAGAACTTCACACATATTTCTTAGTCACGCTTTATATGCTACGAAACATCTGTATAAGGACCACACAAGGCCCTTTGAAAAGAAAAGCTACTAATATACTTCTGAATATAATCTATTAAACTCATATTGATTGAGCTTCACAGTAGTAGTCTCCTGGCCATAAAAYGAGTAACCTTTTCCTTGCATCTTAAAATGATGCAAGTACTCTTAAGAGGTGAAGTTAAAATACAAAGGATGACTGGATATATGGAAAATAGACTTTCCAAGTTTACTGCAAGTATCAGCTTAGATGCCAAGTATAATATTTAAAAACATAACAAGTAAATGATAAGTAACAAAAAGGAAGTTTTCAACTTCTTAATTTGATAACATTATAAAGTAATGCAAAGATTACTTCATACTTACTCTGAGTTACAGATATTACTATTTTTGGACCTCCTCTTCTAACTGCACATAAGCATATAGCAAGTCAACAAGCTATGGTGAATACAGTAAAGAAAGCATCATTATATTTTTTCTAACCAAGAAGAATTCTTTAGCTGTTCTGGCGAAAAAAGCTTTAATGTCTTCAGAATTATGAACAGCAATATCTAATGTGTTTAGGGTGGTTAAACACCGAACCCTTGCCMCATGCAAACCTCAGGTGCAAAGCAAGTTTCAGTTCTCCAGTCCATGTGAGCTGAAGGCTCCCAGTCAGGGTACACTGGGGTGTGGAGAAGGGAGCGCCGGGAAGAGCCTTGCCTGCCCCCTCTGCTTCCAAACCACTCGTGGCTTTTCCTCTTGTAAATTAAGAGAATAAAAGAGCAATTTCCCAGACACATCTCCAGTAAGCAATATGCAGGGCTCTTCATTTCGAAAGGAACAAGGTAAGATCTGTTCGTGCTACACAAGAGCATCTTTGCATTGTGTGTATGTACACAGAACTGGCAGAGGTGCATTATGAAATTCGTGAGCAGAAGGCTGAAGTCCCACTTAAGTGCTTTTCAAATCGGCTTCAAGTGCAGTATTATTTTGTTGTGGCAATCACGTATCTGTCTCATGCTTCTACTTGAAGAGCTTTTGGCATGCAGCATTGCTTTGAGGGTTTTGATTTAACTCTCCATTAGGAAGCAAACTCTTTACTCAGGGATTTAATTGCATGTGGCTTGTTTTCAGCTCATTCAACACAAACTGTATTTTTTCAACATGAAACCTAATGTATGTCTTAATTTGCACATCAGCTATCACTGAAATAAAAGGGATGTGCACTACTGTTTGTCCAGTATTGGTTCTGAGGATGAACTTTGCAATGCTTCCTGTCTCTTACTGCAGCAATAAGAAAAGCAATGAGAGTAATTCCAGATCCTGGTAATCCTGAAATATGGAATTGTAAAGCATCCCTGGTCATTAAAATAATTAGGATTTACAAAAGTAATATAAAGCTATTATTGTATCTGCTTTTGGGAGCAGTATCCAAAGTTTGGCAAGGCCCACTTCAGTTAACAAATTAAACTGTTTAAAGAAATTTTCTCTTTCAAAATTCATTTTTGCAAGTCTTGTTAAAAATACAGAAGTATTTCTTTCAAATCCATTTTTTCTCTCAGCAATAGAGAAGTTTAACYTTAAACCACTCCAAATTATACCTCTGTGAAGAAACTGTTCTTCAAAATCCTCATGAATTTGACTATTTCATCTATTTCCCACACTGTAAATAATTCAAGAAAATACCAAAACTTCACAGAAAACAAAAATACAGATTACTTTAGCTTAAAGAGTAAATTCTGTACCAAATGTCACCGGTGCCAGGATGCTGCTCTGTAAACTCCTCAACAGAAAATGGAGCTCCGGGCACCACCTTGCAACAACCGATGTGGTCATTTCCTATGAGGCTCTGCTCTGTTTATCCAGCAGCAAAACAGAGTATGTGCCGAGGTGACTGTGTCTGAGCCCGTACCAGCCRTACCTGTGCTGAGGCTGTGGCGCTGGGTGTCACTGGGGAGGGCGAGTCGCTCACTTTGGGCTCGCCSGGGGACGCCGTGGAGCCCTGCGACTCTTGGCTCGCTGGCTGATCTGGCGATAAGGCATCGCTGCTGTCCTCGTCAAAGGAAAAATCATCCAAAGCTTGAGGGTAATTCTCTTGTCCAACTGCTACAATGTTTACAAAGACACATGTAAAAAACTCTTTTTTAGTTAAAAAGGTTTAATCTAGGCTTTGGGGTCAGAATTAGCTACTTGCTGGAACTGATCTGATTTCAGGACAACCTAGCTACACAGTACCCAAATACTTACTGGGGCTTTGATACAATGAAAGTCAAATAGACCTGRTAAAACCATCCTTGCAAGAGGTGAAAAGGCATGTTCAGCACCTTAGCAGGGCACATGAACATATGTGACCAGGAATTAATTCATCAGAGGTGTCCGCGATTAACTTGTAAGATGTTTTTACTAAAACAACAAGTATTTTCAAGAGAAATATTGTACTCCAATTATGCAGGTCTAACAGTTTTGAAGAAAAAAAAGAGAACTTAGCACAACTATCCTGAATTAACAGGTGACAGCATTAAAGACTCAGAAAGGAGTATGTCTTCCTGGGGTGAATGTTACTCTTAAGAGTTCAATTATTATTTTCTATAATACTGGAGCGATAACAGATACAACCTGTGGCCGTCCTACTTACCTATTATCGCTTCTTTAACACTGGAGTCTACAGGGAGAATATTTTTTTCTACCAGTTCCATAGGGCCAGGCCTCTGAGCAATCTTCTCGTTTAGATCATCTGCCAACCGAGCTCTCTTCAGTTTCATCTGCGTAGCTTGTAGTGAAGGCTCTGCAAATGTCTCTGAAAGGTACCTTGATTTAAGTATTCTGCTCAAAGTTAAGTATTTCAATGACAACATGCAGATGGGCTACCAATATGGAGCTGGGTATCCAAATGAACGTTTTTAATAATTACTTAATATAAACTGATTTAATAGTAATATTAAACTGATTTGGACTGCGGTTATTTGGTATTTTCTATATTTGGCAAGATTTTAGTGCAAACAGTAATACAGCCCTATTCATTAAAAAAAGCTATTGTTTCAAATCACATCAACAACAAGAAAAATAACCAAGCACCATAAAAGCCAAGTTTACTAAGGGTTACTTATGTTTTTTTGGAAACAAACAAACAAACAAGTTGTATAAAGCTGTCAGGTTGCTTTGGAACGACCAGTAGAGGGTGAAGCACTGTGTATCGTATGCACGTACTTCATGGTACAATTGCCCTTGCAGAATAACAGTGACACGCACTGGCAAACAAATACTCAGTGGAGAATCTTTTCCCTAACAGACATCTGTCTGCTGTCATACAGCTTTAGAATACAGATTACAACAGATGCACTGTAGAAGTGGAGAAACGCAGTATTTGAACCTTTATGAATGAATCACAACAAAGTCTAAGACTCAGGCCCAGAGTTACAGGTTGCAAAAGACGTGACCTGGGTACATACCTTCGAGGATGTGCATCCTAACCAGCTCAGACCGATCCGGTCTGCTGCGAATCTTGTGCTTCAAAAAATTTTCAGTCTTTAAAGAAAAAAAATATGTTACATTAGCATCTACCAGAAAAAGCACAAAATAGATGGTTCACTGATACAGCGCTGATATGCAACCAGTATTTACAGAATATGTTKTCTTCAGATAGATGAACTTCACTGTTTGAACAGTGCCACTGGAGTTCACTTCTCTGAATTAGTCTTCCCCAAACAAGTCAGAAACAGTWGCATAGGCCAGAACTTTGCTACAAGAATACAGTACAAGTTGCATTTCAACCCATGCATTCTGTCCTTTCACTGGAAGGGGACAGACATTAGAATGTGGCCGTATTTTATCACCCACCTGCCTGATTTACAAATGATTAAAAAAACTCCTCATATATTTAATACTGATATTTTATTACAACAGATCTTCCAAGATGCAAGCATGTATGCAAGCATGGTATTAATAAATTTCAGATGTAATCAAAACGTTTATTACCACATAGAACCAACATTTTCATATATTAACAGCAAGTTTATGCATAGTGTTTACCCTGGCTCGTTCCAGACTCTTTATCTGCTCATGGAATGCAGCTGGGCTTTTCAAAGCTGTGAAGGGAAAGAAAAAGTTAACTTGACAGGGCATGATTTCCAAAGCAATATTCCAATCTATAAACTTCTGTGGGCATTTGGCACCATCTTGAAGCTGGTTTTGCATCTAGGCAGGCTTATGTGTTTGATTCACCCCAGTTATACTTGCTTAGATGATGATTATCACCCCTCTGCAGGGTATGTGCAATACTGGAGTTTACAGGATGTTCCTGTGTAACAGTTAAGCACGTTAGCACCAGGTACCCAGGCGTCCACTGAGCAAAACTGTTCCACAGCAGAGTTTTGTAAGGAAGTATTCAGAAGGCAAAAATATTATCTCATTTATTCCACTGTCTCCATCTATACTTCATCTTGCTGTTAGTAGGCAGCTAGACTGTCCATTTAAAATATTTATGCTTTTTTAATATATTGTAGGAAACCCAAAGTGAGCAGATTAGAAATGGGTTAGAAAACAGAATGTTAACACACTATGTCTCAATTCAAAGCAATTTTCAACTAAACGCAAGATCAAATAAAAAACTTCCAGAGCAACATTTTAGATAAATTGCATTCTCTTCCCTATACTGTGGTCTACTGGTATCCAGACAGAGAGGAGGTATTTGCAGAGCCTGCTGTCTACTGTAAAAAGCATTGCAGCAGCAGCAGCAACAGCAGCAAGCCCCTATGTGCTCCTCAAAAACACCAGGTAAATTTTGGGATCACAGAGTGAGGAGGGACCTGGTCTGACTGTCAATGTCAATGTCCTCTGTCCCAGACTGGGSCAGACATTTATACAGCCCTTATAGTATGGCAACGTGACCTTCCCTTGCCATGATCAACATCTGCTATTTCTTTCTGTTTAACCACAAGGAAAGCTTACGTAGTGTTAGTAACTCAGGATTTTTTGTGAGCTGAGTTTTGGCGTTAGTACATCCTAGCAGGGAGCATGTCTGTGGTTCGCTCCGTACAACGTTCACGTTCACGGAGGGAACCTCGTTCATGGAGGGAAACTCTTAGAACAGGAAAGGTGGAGGAGACATCCTGCTGTTTTACTGCTCTCTGCCACAGGGCAGTGTCTGCAGTACTGAGGGAACACAAACAGCACGTGTCAAAGAGCACTGATTACCAGAAATGCCCCTGCTCCAAATGAGCTGCGCTGTGTCTAGCAGAGGGAACCCAAAGCAAGAAGCTCCTGCACAGGGTGAAGGATCCCAGTGTCCCTCCCACAAGCACTGCCTGGTGCTGGGCCAGAGACCCCGTCCGGACCCTCAGCACGTCCGACCTGCGGGAGCTGCGAGGAGAAAGGTCCCCCTGTGCTCAGAGCAGCACTCCGAGCCTCAGGCTCAACCGGCACGGCCGGGGTGCCGCCTGCAACGGCAGCCTCTCCTCTGAGCGTAAAGATAACTCTTACTGCACTAAAAAAGCCCCAATTCTGTATTTCTCAGCAGCAGATACAAACAGCTCGGAAGGAATCTGGGCTTGTGGCAGATGCAGAAAGCTCTCCTGACACTGCAAGTGTGAAACACGCATTCAGCCCTAAAAACATGAATCTTATGGACGAAAGCTGGCAAGCGCATTGCCTAGTTACAGCCTAACATCAACATTATCTTGGGGCAGAGTCTGGAGGATGTAAAGTGGGATGAGTCATAAATATGCAATTTTCTCTCTCTGGAAGCAGAATTAACTGCAGCCAGAAAAGTCACCCTCAAGGACAAAAGTAAGCCGTTAGAATCCATGTCACAGGGTTCAAATCCCACCAGGAATCTGCATCCCAAACACAGGCATATATTCTGATAAGGTCTCAAGGGCTTTATTAACCAAAGGGTAAAAACATAGGCTCATTTATACTACAAAAGGATCCCAAGGGCTTTATCAAACTATCATTATTTTAAGAATTTTTATAGAAACATTAATCTTCATTCTACATTTTCAAACAATGCAGAGTGATATAAATTAGGAAAATAAAAGCCAGTCTTACGTGGCATGATGCCCTGGTCCACCAGCTGTTCTCGTGTCCGCCGTTGCTGTAGCCTCAGCTGAAGCACTGGAAAGAAAACAGTCGTTCGTTTGCATGTAAGCCAAGGTAGCCCAGCACGAGGAGAAACGTTTCAGAAGATGCTAAACAGCCTAAGCAATATTTTGGCTGCGAGCGTTCAGACCTGACAGTAACCTCCCAAACCCCTACCAATAAGGATCTCATGCTAATAATATAGCCAAGAGGAATTGCCTACAATCCCTATTTATGTTGTATTGTGCTGCTTTTTGGTTACTTCTGATAAGCACGCTCTATTTCACATATTCACATGCTTTTTCTAACTTATCAGCTAGGCCTCACAAAAGGTATCCCCTCCCTGYCCTGCTGGCAACATCCTCCTGATGCAGCCAGGAGCCCATTGGCCTCCTTGGCCACGAGGGCCCTGCTGCCTCATGGATAACTTGGTGTCAACCAGGACTCCCAGGTCCCTCTCTGTGGAGCTGCTCTCCAGCAGGTCGACCCCTMATCTGTGCTGGTGCCTGGGGTTCTTCCTGCCCAGGTGCAGGACCCTGCACTTGTCCTTGTTGAACCTCATGAGGTTCCTCTCTGCCCAACTCWCCAGCCTGTCCAGGTCCCTCTGGATGGCAGAACAGCCCTCCGGAGTGTCGGCCACTCCACCCAGCTTGGGATCATCCGCAAACCTGCTCAGGGTGCACTCCGTGCCCTCGTCCAGGTCACTGATGAACCGGTTGAACAGCACTGGGCCCAGTCCTGACCCCTAGGCCTAGGCCACTGGCCACAGGCCTCCAACTGGACTTGGCCCAATTTATCATGACATGTTAAATATAATGTAACAATATATACTTAACATTATTCATGCACATACCCTCTCGCTTGTCTATCAGTTTTCCATTGTACATCATCATTTCTTGGCCACCTTACAAAGCTGTTATCCTAATGGGAAATACCGCCTCCTGCTCTGAAGCACAGCTTGGTCAAGAAGGGAATATTCAAGACAAGCAGTCCTTGGGCTCCCTGATTCTCCCCTAGTGGCTCAGAGACACGGCCCGGCTGCTCCTGCCCACTGCTCCCATTGTGCTTCCCAAGGAAGCAAACAGGCGAACGCTTTGTGCAGGACATCAAACGGAAGGCAACTTCTGAAAAAGCAGCCCAAGCAAAGGCCTTTGTTTTCAAGGAACGGGCCTGTTTCCTGTCCTGCAGCACAGGAAGGATACTCCTCTGGCTAAGGCATTAAAACTGGCCTGAGTGAGGCAAACCTGAAAATGAGTGTGTTATTTTCTTATGCCGCATAAGCACTGAGAAGCTCAAAAATATTTGCTTTAAGTAATAGTGGTTTTTTTTTTTTTTTTTTTTGAGTAATGATAATTTTTCAATGATGCTAAAAGAACCAGAAGGTAACTGCAAAAATATTTTATAGGAGTCTGGAGATTTGGGTACTTGATTTTGGTGTTCCTGTTGCTCCATGTGAGTTTGGAGATGTGACCTGCAGCCCATGGCCCTGCCACGATGCCCCTTCCAGGCTGTGTGTGACTCGGGGCCAGGAGTCCCTCTGAGCTCAGGGCATCATCCCCTGCCTTTCTGCAGGAAACCACACAGCTTTAAGACCAAACCATTTGGCTTAGTCTGCCCAAAGGATCGTGTGCGTATGAACAGGCATGTCCATGGTTCAAACTGGAAATCCAACTTAAAGCCTACCAAGTTTAAACAAATCACGGGGAATCAGAAGGCTCATTCCCACAAAAAACGCTTCCCACCAGGACGCATGCCCAGCACGTGCCATAGTGTACAGTACTGCACTTAGAGCCTGGAGCTGGCTCTGACACAGGCCCCCGCATGAGGAGGGATCCCGAATCCCGCAGGAGCCCCGCGCGGCGGCGAGGAGCCCCCGGGAGCGGGAGCTGCCCGCACGGCAGCGGGGACAGGACTGCTGCTCTGCTGAGAGAAAAGCCCCTCAGGGGCAGGCGCTATCTGTGATTTCCAATAAGTTTTCACCAGGAGCTTTATTTACAAACCCATTTCCGCAGTGTGAGCGCGGGGCCTTCCAGTATGAGCAGACACAAGTGCTGCGCACGGGCCCGCGCCACTGCGGGGCTGCTGCTGCCCGCAGGCTTGGGACAGCTCCCTAAACCAGAAAACTAGCGTGTAGGAAGCACCCACAGTAGCTATTCTTTGAAATCTATTGCAAACAACAGCTACGTGTTCTTTATTTTTATGAGACATTATTTATTTAACAAACTGTAAGGAATGCCATAGCAAACAAGCTTGATGTGCACAATCTCAGTGCAGGAAGAGTAATTTTAGGTTATCTTTAAGAAAACAGTTTAACTGGCAGTTTAAATGGCAGAGATGTATCAATAGGACATGACAACTTTTTACCTGGTATATTTTAACTCTGAGAAAGCCAAGAGATTCATTAACTGTAGGTTTCTTCCTGCCTTCTCTTAAACATAAAATTTTAGTCTTTTAGGGAAACAGCATTTCGACTACAGTTTGGTATTTTGAATTCGAGTTACTATTCTGAAGAATTGCGGGCATCAAATTATCTTGAAAAAGACTGCACCTCATCAGGAAAGGTGACACATGAAATAAGGCACCATGAATTCACGTGCAAAGAGGAGTTTCTATCCAAGCAACATGTTTCACAGTACGGTGCTTATAACACTGAAAGATCTCTACACGGAGAAAACCCTTCCGACTGCTAAGCCCCGAACTGAGGAATTAGCATCTACAGGGAAGAAAAGGAGCACACAAAAAGAGGGGGATGCTAAAATCAGTCAGTTTGTAGATTGATCATCTAAACATCAAACTTAAACCATCTTAAACCACAAACTTAATAGCTCTTTAACCATTTGGGTGATGCCATTTGCAGTGAATAGCTCTATTACAGTCACTACCTCTACCAACCCCTTGTAAACCACATAAAACGCACAAAGATGCTCTATTTTAAGGTAAACTTCTCTACTGCTTCCTTCCAGCACCCACATCCATGATCACAAAACACATTCCAGTGCAGTGGGTGCTGGTGGGCCCTGGCGTGGGTGCCTCATCCCAGGCTGCAGACCCCTGCCCTGGCAGGAACCAAGCACACCGCTCCCTTCAGCACCACAGAGTTCMCTTCAAAGCGAGAGGTAGGAAGGAGCCTTCAGTTTTCCACCTGCAAGTGATAGGACGGCTGAGCAAACACTTTATGAACACACTAAACCCATGTGAAGCTTCCATTTTTTTTAAAAAAAGCAAATATACATATTTATTGTCTCCCATAACACCCCTCGCCTACCAGCCATCTACACCAGGCATCACAAAGCAAATGAGGGAGGAGGATTTAAGTCCCATTTATTTCAGGACAAGCAGCAGAACCCGTGGGAGGACTGCAGAGATGGGAGAGAGCAAACGATTTTTTAAATTATCTCGAATATCCAGTTCCTCGTTTAGGAGATAAAGAGCAGGCCCTGATACCTGACACCGTGAAGAACGACCGGCCAGGAGCAGGCGAAGAGGGAAGCGCCAGGGGGGATACGTGAGAGCAGGTGTCTCACACACCAGAGCAAGCAGAGGGAAGAGAAAMAAATCGGGATGAAAACCAGGTGCTTTTACCATCAATTCCAAAATTAAGAAGGGGAAGGAAAAAGAAAGTTTGAGGTTAGATTCTTTTGTTCAAATGCTGAGCACTTTGAAATGTGAATAAAGAAAATATATTCTAAAAAGTTATTATGAATTAAAAACAAAATCAATAAATAATTTTAAAAGGTTGAAAGACTGAAAAAAAAATCCATTGCCTCTCCAAAGCAAACAAGCCAGGAAAAAAAAAGCTAAAATTTATATCTCAGTAAAGAACACACGGACCTAAAATGCTTGCAGCCTTGCCGAGACAAAAAGTAAACAAATAAATAAATAAGCGGAGATGTTTCTTAGGGAGAGAAGCAACACTTGGGCACCAGTGGGAAGTCCAGGCGAGGAGGATATTCAGCTTGGTCTCGGTATAGACGCAATGAGCTTTACGTGGTCACTGTGGTGATTCTAGAAGGCMTTATGAGCTCTCAGAGAATTTGGATCCCAAACTAAGACTGACTTCCAGCTCTGTGGGGGAGTGGAACCTAATCAAAAATAAAGCAAAAAAGATTTAAAAAAGCGGGAAGAGGGAGGGACATAAAGGGAGAAAAGTAAGGATGATTTCTGAGAAAAGCAAAAAAGGAAAATGGACCCACAAAAAGCAGCTSAAAGAATCACCAGAAAGAGACACAGTGGGAGCCATGGAAACCAAGTCACGAGTTTCCAATAAGGAAAATGTGATGAAATTATCTCTAAAGACAAGCATGAGACATGAGAATGGAGCAGAGCTTTGCAATTTTAGCTAAGAAAAGCTCAACTAGTTAAGTGAGAAACTGCCCAGACAGAGCAGATGCAGGTTGGTTTCAACACAAAACACTGAGTTACACTATCAGATACAGGTACAGAAATCTACATTCTGAGATTCCTGGAAGAATCAATAACAAACAAGAAGGAAATCTCTGTCCTGCACACAAGGAGGTATGAGCTGGGAAGGCAAAGCTTCCAAATAATGTACAAATGACCAAGACATTAGCCAAATTGATTATACTGCACTGATTTTTATGTAGGGTCTGAGAATGGAGAATTCAGAAGACACAGAGCACTACGGCTCCGGGCCCGCCRTCCTGCTCACTCGTTCCAGCAGATGGGTCCCCTCTGTGTTAACCCTGGCCTCTCGTTCCTGCACTTCCACACTGAAGCATTTAGAATCACAGAAGCTGATCTTCAAAATAAAGGCCCAGGAGTGACAAAGAGTTAAAAATGTGAATATATCCCTAACATGGACACGTCTGGTTACCTTGCGCTGCCCCGACGCGGTGGCAGCCTCAAGCGGGGCGATTGCAGTGGCCGGGTCGGTCCTGCTCCCCTCGCTGGGGACAGGGGCCCTGAGGACACTCCTCATGTCCCCCAGTCACTGTGAGTTTAACATTACCACTTTAACCAGGCAGCAGTTTCTATGATTTCCATATATTTTTTCCTCAGTCAGTAGAATCATCAAT